AATTTTAAGAACATTGTATATGCATACATAATTGCTATTGTATTACACACCACTTTATACTGTATATGTAATGTGGTAAAACATGTACAGTGCAACAAAATAAGTTAAAAAAGGAAAAAAATTAGTTTTTCCTACTTGAGAATACAGCTAAAAGGAATTTTTCTTTCTCTCTCTTCTTATATTACACTTACGGGCTTAAAAAATCTTACTGCATGTGTGTATGTATTCAAAAAAAAAAATATATCCTTGAACTAATTTGTAAGAAAGTGCATAAAAAATGAATTTATTGTATTATACATGCATATACAATAAATAAAAAATACATGTGTAATGAAATTACATTTACATGACATACACTCAGGCACGGTTCTGACCTCTTTGGTGCCTTACGTGATTTTTAAAAAGTGCGCCCCCTGCACCCCAAATAGATTGCGCATAATAAATCGCTTTCGTCTAGCTGAGTGAATGCTAGCTGAAGACGAAAATCATCCTGAATGCAAAATTAATCATAATCTGCAATTAAAAGCCACGAAATAAATTTTGTATTTTTTTTTTTTTTACAAAGTTTGCATATAAATACATGCTTGTGTTGATTTTTCTGTAAACAGAAAGTAAACATTTTTGGAAAACACGTAATGGACAAAATTTGAAAAAATTCATTATTGTTATTTTTCAAAGATGCGCCTGTTTTCCGACGCCCATTGTAAATGCTTACTTTGCATGTATGGTAGATCCAGCACTGCGTACTCTCATAGACTTATACGAATTCATATACGAATGATATTTATGTATGTATGAATGTGTTATGTAAATGTTCACGTACATTTATACTTATGCAAAAAAAAATTTTGTTTTTTTTTTTTAAAACATTCTCATATGCAGTGTAACAGAATGCAAATTTATGACTTTTTATAAAAATTTTAACATTTTATTTTAAATTTTTCTCTTTTTTTTCTTTTGAGGTCCCCCTTCTCTCTCTCTCTTTTAATGTCCTTTTTCTTTCTTGACTATTTTTTTTTTTGCTTATTTTTGTGCTATTAGAATAGCATATGTTTATGCATTATTTATTTATTTTATAAAGAATATAAAATTGTAATGGATTCTCAAGAAAAAATTGGATTGCATAAGAGAAAAAAAATAGAAAATGAAAAGGGAATTTTAAATGACATTCAGATTTATAATATTGCATATATTAAGGAGGTGTCATATATATTCGAGTAATATAATTGCATTTCAAGGTAAATAACGGTAACAATTTATAAAAAAAAAAGTAGAAAAAAACATAAAAACAGAAGGATTTTCTTAGACTAACGATGAGCATTCTTAAAAATTTATTTTACATTTTATTCTATTTTATTATAATTTATGAATTTTTTATTTTCTTTTGCTTTATTTTATTGCTTTGTTTAAAAACAAAGCGTTAGCTGAGTAAGAATAATAATTATAAAGTTTTAAAATATTGGAAAACATTTATTGTATAATGAAAAAAGATAATATTTCTTATTTTGAAACTTTAACTTAATTACTGCCTTATTTCATTAGCGTACACTTTAATTAGAGATATCTATTATGTGACGAAAATTAATAATTCGTGAAAACTTGTGATGAAATATTAAAAAATTGAAGAAAACTACTACACCTATTTGTATGGCTATAAAAAGATCTGGGGGTATTCCTGTACACGCAACTCAACTTATACATAATGGGTATATTTTATCAAAAATCAGGTATAACATATGTACTCGTAGCTGAAGATCCTGCTCAAAATTTATCATAAAACATATTGAAACAATAACGAATATATCACTAACAACATTATTTAAACTTAGTACTAGAATTAGTATTGAAGCATTATACATTAGAGTTAACACATTTGATATACGTCAATAAATAAATAAAAAGAATAAATCTTCTAATACATCAGCAAAACTGTGTATTAAAAATATAAATGATGGAAAATAGTATGAATAGTCCAAACGAAATGGCGACATCTATTGCCGAAATCATGAAATTTCGTCGAAGATTTTTTTCACCTCACTTTAAAAGTAAAATTTGTTAACATTAAAATTCCAATTTAATTTTTTGCGTCTTTTGAAATTTATTTGATTTTCGTGGCTTAAAAATTTTCGAATTAAAAGAACTTCAAATTTCAAAAGGATTTGATAAGGTTTAAATTTAATTTTCATATAAATATGAATGAATGTTCGACATAAATATAAATGTTAGGAAAATAGAATGACAGACAATTATGATAAGGGTTTCCACACGCATCCACACGTTGCTCTTATGATGCGTTTAAATAAAGAAAAAGAAAACAATGTTTGTAACAACAAGGATAAAGGATCACCTCATAATATTTGTGATCTTTGTTATAACGTTGTCTAACTGTCATCGATGATGTCCTTGGGATTGGTTTTTGAATACTAAGAACCGTTGTGGTAGATTTTAATTTTTTTGTTATTATTTTTTTTACAGGGTTTATTTTGTAGAATATTTTTTTCCTTTTTCTTTTGTTTCCTGATAAATCAAAAGGATAATCATATCTACAGAATTTGAAATATCAATAAGAAACAGAAACGCAACTTAACCTTAAATTGTCAATAAATTACTTATTTTTTGATTATTTATAGTATTATTGTATTGAAAGGTAATAAATTGGACGAATTCTGGTGTGGCGCGAAAGATTTTGTGATTATTTGTAGTCTGTCAAGAGATTTGTCAAAAGCGCTTGGTCTGAAACGAATCAAGCAGCTTTCACAGGGTTATAATCATTATTCGTTGGGGGTAAGGTAGACGATTCTGGCCTGTTTCATTAAAAAGAATGAGTTTATTGGCTGAAGTAGGAAAAGTAAAGGCTTGTAGTTGGCGGCCGATGTTTTTACTGCAGACTGATCAATCACTTGCACAACCCTGATATTAACTTCAAACTTGTTTGTATTGATTATACATTATCTGTTATTTTCTAATACAGTTTATCTATTTGGAAGTTTATTCATACATGAAATTTATAATCCGGTCAGTCTGATTTTTAATTGATAAATTTCGATTTTAAAAATCTCCTAATTAAAATTTCTGATGTTACAGCAGTGTTTATCATATCAGCAATTATTTTCATATTTTTTTTTATTTTAATGGCCAACATTTGAAATTTTTTAGCCCTTTTTTTGTGAAATTTTTGTATGACATTTGTATGAAATATTTTTTTAATTTAAAATTTTTTCTTCTGAAATTCACCTCATTCCAATGTTATGTAGCGTTTAACCTGTATATACGTACAACAAATGTACATATCAGGATTTATTCACATATACTCACATATCTAAATATATGCATATGTACATAATAAGTATTATTTATATATGTACCTACATGTACATATAGGAAAAAGGGAAAAAAAATCTAATTTTGTCCTGTTCATTCAAGCAAATCCATCACTCACATTTTAGTTCAAGATTATATTTTAGGACACGACCAATCTTCAATCTTTCTTTTGAAACTTTCCAATTTGAAAAAAAAAGACAAAAATATTTTAATAAAAAAAAACAAAGAGCAAAAATTATAAATATGCTTACCTACATGTCCTTTGGAATGTACTTTTTGCGGATGAATTTAACACTGTACAAATATTTCATATGATGAGATCAAACTTCAACAAAGAGAAGAAATGAACATTCTATCAAGTGTAAGCGCTCATTACATCAAAAGAGGTTCGGCTTGTCTTTTGAAATTAGTTTGTATTGTTGGCATATCTTAAGAATTTTTTCAAAGGTTATTGATTGGAATTATATTACTAAGTCCTTTCGTTCAGCCGATTACAACCACTTATGTATGTAGAAAAAAAGTTGCTGGTTTTCGTATTCTTTTCATTCTTTTCTTTCTCCTACTTTCAAAATTGAGGATTTTTTTATTATATCTTGTATTATTCGAAAATTGCTTTTTGCTATCTAAGTCGGCATTCGGGAAAAAATATAACTTTCCTTCAAATTAGATCAATATGTTCGTTTGCTTCAAATAAAGCGAAAAAATGGATTCTTTACTCTAACAAAAATTCTAACAAATATTCTAACAAAAAATAAAAACGTTATTTTTTCTTGCCCTTCCATAACAGGAAATAAGTTTTATCCTTTCACAAAAAATAAAAAATTTAAGGAATAAGAAAAGGGAAAAGGCAAATAAAAATCTAAGAATGTCAATGATCATTTGTTTCTCCGATGACATTTCATCCGGGAAACATTAATCTTGTAGTAATATTCTGTGAGTCCTTTTTTTAACGTCTTTCAAAGAAAACAATATTTTATAGAAATGAAAATGTTGATTGTATAAGTTTTTAATTTTGTTTGACTATTTTAAATCATTATAAACGATACAGGCCTGGACATTCGAGTTCAACACCTCATTTAACGCCAGTCTCGGATCATCCAAATTATTCACAAATCATGCAAATATAAAATCTTTATCACTCATTCATTGAGGAAATTGTCCCTTTTGGAAAACCGTTTATGCTTTTCTGACAATTCATTGAGTTGAAATATTTTGTTCGAAGGTATTTATTTGAAAAATCTTACAAATTTCGAAAAACTTTGAATTTCTGTCATAATTGAAATCCTTTTTTGATCATATTTGAAATGATAACAATTAAATTTAAGATGATGAATAAAATCCTTGGTGTCAAATATCGTCTTCTTGAATAAAAAGCATACTCCTAAACTTAAAGTTTATAAATTATATTTATGTTTGAACAACACAGGGGAGTATTGCTTTAATATATAAAAGTTTTCTTATATTTAGAATAACTTCTACTGCATATTCGAATTGATTTTTATAAAAAATTAGATATAATGAAAAAATTCTGAAGATAAATTTATGAATTATTATAAAAATTTTGTACATTTGTTCCAAAACCTAAAAGTATTTCAACGAACGATTATGATTTAAAACCATATCAAGTACCAAGTTTGATTGTTATATAAAATTGGATTAATTTTTATCTTTTTATTTAGATTAAACAGACAATCACAAAATTACAAGCAGTTGTCTGCTCTGATGGACGTTTTAGAGCAATGCGTGAAGCATTACATCGATGTGATCCACCATGTATACCATATTTAGGTATGTATTTGTCGGATTTATCATTCATTGAAGAAGGCACATCGGATTTTACCCCAGATGGCTTATTAAATTTCTCGAAAATGAGAATGGTAAGTTTAAAAAAAAAGTTTTAAATAACATATAAGTTATTTTTGTTTTCTATACAGGAGTCAAAAATAATCAACAAACAAAAATAGGCGAACTTAAATCGTCGACAGATCTATTAATAGTGGGAGGGCTTTAACCCTAGTTAAAACGCACCTGATCTGGTCATAACAACCTAAAACTACTCAAATTAATTAACCATTAATTTTACTTTTTCGTGTTTTTGTGTGTATATTCCGTAACACGGAAGTGCTGTTTCAGCACTTAAGGCTAAATGTAGAAGTCTCGTTCGTTTCAGTTTTTCTGTCCTAACCATCTCGTCTATATGTGAAGCGGCTTCAATATTCCCATGCTACTCCAAACGTACCCTATGTTTCATGGTTCCTAATTTCTTCACTTACCTCGGAACAGCCCCACCGCTGTATATATATATCAACACTTTGTCGTATGCTGCCAATTTAGACCCACGACCAAGGAACCAATAGTTATTTAAATTGCTTCAAATTTATATTTGACACACTTGAAACATTTGTTGCAAATGTTTGGCTCATATTGATTTCATTTCATATCTTATAACTTAATTACGAACATAATTTATAATATTTTTTATATTTTATTAATTTTATTGTTTTATTATTTTTTTTCATTTAATATTTTATGTTTTTTAATATATTATTATTTGTTTTTTTAACTTTTACATTGTACAATTAGATATCTCATGTTATTCGGGAAATTCGCCATTTTCAACAAACACCATATAAAATTGATCATATACCAAAAGTAACTGGATATTTATTGGATACAACCTTATTGTTAGATGATGACGAATTATACAGTCGTTCACTTCAAATTGAACCAAGAAGTTCACGTTTAAGTGCACCAAATACACAAGCTGTATAATTTTTAATGAACATTTGGTTACATCAAGTGTTAAATGTTGTAATCAAATTATTAATAAATTACTTTTATAGAATATTTTTATGTTATTTATTATATTATGATTTAAAACACATAAAGTATAAATTTAAAATCAATAATAAGAATTTTTGATATTTTGTTAATATGAGAAAATTTAGTGCAACGCATCTTTGTTTTTTTTTTAATTATTAAATTTAAAATAATTAGATTTTAATTTAAATGAGCATATATTGAACAGAAAAATTGTATATTAACAATAAGGCATATCATTTTAAAGTAGTGCAACATTCAAAGCAAAAAAAAAAAAAAAAACAAAATTAAAATTTAACATGTAGTTTAATTCAAAAAACGTTTATAATATTAAAAAATTTAATATCTATGATTATGTCAATATGGAGTAAATTCTTGTGTGTATAAAAATGATAATGTATAATTAATTAATTAATTTTATTTAATTTTAAATCCGTCAAAAGAAGTCTTTGCATCAGGGCTGTTAAATGTATAATATCGTAAAATTGTTAATTGTTGTTTATATATTAACACACAAAATAATATATAAAAATTTGTAATTAATAATATTTAATTATAATAATATAATATAATAATAAAATTATGGCACATGCAAATGCATATAAATGTATATCTATACTTAGCACGTACGTGTATACTCCGAATTTAATATACTATAATTATTTTTAGATTAATTTGTCAACAATATTCCTACATATCAGTTGTTTATATAATGTAGTATTACATATACACAAATTAAACCCATAGTTACTAAATAAGAAAATTCATCAAAATAAAATTCTATTCCTTCATCACATGTAATGTAGGTTTTGGTGACTTGAAATTTATTTTTTTTTTTATAGTAACGCTTATATGGCACGATTTTCATTGGGCTGGTACCAGAAAAAATATCGTTAAGCCATTTAATTAGTTTAGTAAGTCTGACTTAATTAATTTTTTGTTTTATTGTTTACTATTGTAACAATTGACATTAAAATTAGAGAATACCTTACTTCAATTGCTCAGATATATCGCAATTTTTATATGAATAAAAATCTGCAAAGTTCAAAGTGCAATGTAGTTTGTTATGCGTCACATTTGGGTTGACGAAAAATGTTATTTTGTTGCTGTGCCTGCACTTAACGAACTATAGGTGCAATGCAAACTATATATACTTGTTATATTCAGATTGTAGACAAACGTAGGTCTCTCTTTCCTTAATTAAATAAGGTGTTAATAGCTGTTAGGAACTCATTTCCGGCCAGTATTGTCGAAAATTACAACTCTGACGATCTTCAAATTATTACAGTTAAAATTGATTTTGCTATTAAAAAAATTGTTTTGGGTAAATTGCTATATTTTCAGATTACTCAAGTACTATGAAAATTACTCACGATATATGCTAAATTTTCTTTAACGTTTGATTATGCTTCCAATTTTCGCAATTCAGAATTTTTAATCTCCTTAAAATTAGGTGTACTACTTATGACGAGGAGTCATTTTTAATTCCAATTGAAGGCTTCGTATTGTATTTCATACATTCCTTTTATTTAAAAAACTTAAAATAATCAAAGCAATTGGATATTATTTTCACCTCTAATTGATATAATTAACTAGCTATTATTGCATAATTGCAACTCCTTGCCCGTTGGTTCATGTTGAGTTTTATCAACTCCCTAATATCCTTCTCTTATTGCATTGGCATTTAGAAGTGTTGCATTTATAACGCATAATATCTGCACATAATTGAAGTCAGATTATTTGTTGATATAAGAATTTTATTTCTTGCACGTACACACTACATGTATTAATATACATCTTATATAATATTATCAAACAATAGAAAAACAAACAATAATAATAATAAAATAATGATCTTTGTTTTTTAAAAACCAAAAATTATAAAATTTTAATGTTTTTATAAAAAAGAAAAAACAAAATTTAAAAAAATTTACTTAAAAAATTTCATATTTGATTTTTACCAAAAAAATCCAAATATAAACAAAATAAATAATAAAAAACTTTATTAAAAAAATTTTCAGAAATTTTATAAAAATATTCATACGCAATAATATGTACATATAAAAAATTATTATGAAATTATTTCAAAACTATACAAAATATTACATTTAAAGTGCTCAAATTTTTTTGAAAAAATATGAAAAATTTCTTATAAATAAATAAACTTATATAGAAAACAAAAAAGATACAAAAATTAAAATTCCTAGAAAATTAAAATTTAAAATTTTTATGATCATTGTTGAATAATTTTTTTGGACTATAAATATTAAAAAAACAATAAAGAGAAAAAATAATTAAAATTTAATAAAATATTATGGTAGAATCAAAAAAAAAAATCAGATATTAAAACGAGAAAAATCAGTAAAATTTTGCTATTAAAAATTTATACCCGGTGTAAATAGTTTTGGTCCTATAGAAAAGTAAGAAAAAATAATCCAAAAATAATAAAAAATCTTTTTCCCATTTTTTCATATTTTCCAAACTTAACTATAGAAATTGGAATTTAGAATATTTCTTTTAAATAATTAAAAACGTATAGAAAGGAATGTATAAGATTAGAGAAATTTTAGGCATAATATAGATTTACGATAAGTAACATTTTTAAATATGACAGTAATAATAAATAAACCGGTCAGGTCAACCTTACAATTTAATGAAGAAACTATATGTTTCTGTTCAACCCTACGCTTTAATTTTAAATTTCATTCGAAAATTGAATAAAATTTTTAGTGAGAAATTTGTTGAAAAGCTTCCAATTCGATCTTAAGGCTATGGCAGACATGCAATTTTTAGTTTTGCAACTATTTAATTACTTATTCGTTTAATTAATTTTAATTAAGCATATTTTAATTATTATGAATAATTTTATTCCAATGGTTTATATTCAAGCGACAGGAATTTTTTTGTTTAGTAATTTCAAATAATTTGGTTTTCGGTTCAATTCAACTCTATTTGAAATCTAACATTCTTGCTTTCAGATTTTTCAAAATCAAAACAAGTATTTTAAAAATTAAAATTCTCATTATAAAATAATTTTGAGTCTAATAATGAATTTTTTTAAGAATTACTTATAAGACAAAAAACATCCAATTTTAAAGTTGACTAAATTCAATATTTATTAAAGCTGTCAAATAATAATCGTACTAAATAACTTCAAAATAGAAAAGAGAAATAAAATAATTCACAAAAAAAAAAAAAAAATTAAAAATTTAAAATAAACAAAGAAGAAAAACTCACGCAAAATGTACAAAATGGACAATTGAAATTTTATTTATAAAATGTGTAATTGTTTTTTTTTTTATATATATTAAAATAAAAGTAGGATCCACATTTTGTAGTAATTATTTTTATTAAAATACAATTAAATAAAAATGAAAAATAATAAAATAATAGAAATTAATATTAAGAAAAAGTAAATGGTTAGGCTTAGGTTAATTTAAGAGAACAATTTAAAATTATAAGTTTGAGTTTGAATTTTTTTTTTACAATTATTCTGTTTAATTACAATGTTTTGAATCATTTTGGTTAACATTGTATTACCTTATTATACTTTTAATTTATTTTTTTAATATTATATTTAGTTTTCTGTTTAATTATATGCCAGCATTAAATTTTGCCTCTTACTATAAATTACAATCTTTTTTAGAAAATATTCCAGCAAAATCAGAATTATTTAAAAAATATCATATTTTTAAAATAATTAAATATCAGTTTTTTTTATAAAAAACCATTCCTGTTTCAAGTGCTCTTTAATTTTTCTTCTTTCTCTGTTAACTTAATTTGGTTCCAGAAATGACTTCTTTGGGTCATTCTTAATTCCAATTTTCCATATTTTTAAAATTTCTTACATAATTACTTTATGAAATTTTACTTAAAATTTTAATTTCTTTTTTTATTCACTTTATATATAAAAAAAAAAAAACTAAAAAAATTGTTAAAAGCATAAATTTCAAAATCATTGTAAATATTTTACTAAAAAGGTTTCACTATTACTATTAAAACTATTAAGAATTTTTTATAAAAATCTGTTTACAAAATAAAAAAAAAAGACGAAAAATATTCTATTAAAACTTATAAGAAATTAAAAAATATTCTTATTTATTTTGTTTTTTTTTTTTTTAATATTATATATAAAAATAATTATTGTATACAAAATATCAGTTCATACCTTCAATTGTCTATTGTATTTCAACTAATTAAATTTAGTTACAATTTTAAAAATTAATATAAGTATATTTATTCATTTTAAATAAAATTTTTAATTATAACATTATTGTATAGGTAATAATTGTTTCAAAAATTTTCAAAATAAAATCATTTTCGACAAAAGAATAATCAAATTTTATTTATTTAATTGTAAAATTCAATTTAAAAAATGTAATTATATAAGACATAACAAAATTATCCTATACGTACAAGTATATAAAAAAGTAAAAATCATGTAGCTATTAAAATTAAGAATTGCGATAATAACAATTATTAACAAAATGAAAAAAAAAATAAATAAAAAAAAACTTATTTAAATTAAATTTTTAAAAATAATTTTTCGACAATCTTATTAATGCAGGTTTATTAATTAAAACAAAATAAATAACTAAACCTAATATAAAATTGAAAAAAAAAATAAATATAAAAAAAATTAAATACTTTTATTGTTTAATTTTATGAAAATTACAAAAAAATTAACGATCTATATATAAATGTATAGTATAATCTTATGAAACAGTATTATTAAACTATTTATTAAAAAAAATATTAAAATTAAATTATATACTAAAAAATATATATATAGAAATACTATAGAATAAGGTTATTTCAAACTATAAAAGAAAAATAATATTATATAAAAATTAATTTAAGTAATTTCTGTAATTTGAAAAAAAAGATATTGAACAAATTAATCATAATTAAATTCAAAAATATATAATTACAATATTATAAAAATTATGAAAATATATTTGAAAATTTTAATTGGAATTTAAGTTGCTGAAAAGAATCGTAAACAAATATTAAAGTATTAAAAGAAAAATGGATTAAAAATATTTTTAGTTAGAAAATTTTAATTAAATTTTTATTTTCCATTTAATTTAACACTAAATTAAAATTAAAGAAACCAAATACTTTTCTT